GGGTAAGGGAGAGAGATGAGGGCTGGGCTGGGCTCCAAAGCTGGGAAGGTCATGCTGGGGAAGTGGAGTTCGGTGGTGTCCTGATGGGGGTGGGGCGGGGCGGGCAGTGGGCTGTCAGCCCTGTGAACAGCTTGGACTTCTCTGGTCTTGTCTGCACTGAGAAGGGCCCTGTCTTCTCACCCACCATGAGCTTCGCTCTCCGCAGAACGCCCCAGACCCAGGGTCCTGGTACTGAGCATGCGCAGCGCTGTGCACCTTCATCCTGGGATCTCCTTTCATCCCCCCCACATCCTCTGCGGTTGACTCTTGTCAGCTCTGAGCGAGCCAGGGAGTGGCAAGGGAGGCAGGGAGGAAGGGCTCAGAGAATCGCTGACTTGCCCCAGCACCACAACTGGCTGCAGAGCCGGGTCCAGTGCCAGCTCCTGCCCCGAGGTCTCGGCTTCTATTCACTTGCAGGGAACTGGGCCGTGAGACCGCACAGTGCCCTGAGGGCCAGGGCAGGGCTGGGAAGGGAGGTGGTAGCGGGCAGTGGAAGCCCCCCACTGCAGTGCACTTGCTTTGGGCAGGTCGGTCCTCAGGTTCTACAAAATCTCAAGTCAGAAGGCAAGCATCTCTCCACGACAGGTAACCTCACACTCCACTTACTGGGTCCAAAGGCAGAGGGAGCCCAGGCTGCCGGCTCCTTCCTTCCAAACACACCCGTGAAAACACAAGCACCTTTCAGAAGCTCACCAGGGGCCCCAGCGCTTGAGAAGGTCTCCACCCTCCACCCTCCAAACCACCAAGTGTCTTGGTGTAGTGGGGGCTGCAGGGGGGCCATGACACCAATCATCTATGCCCCTGGGGCGAGGAGTCTCCAGCAGGGTTTCTGTGGACCCAGCTGCAAGGACATTGGACTTCTTGGCCTTATCTGTGCTTGGATAGACTCAGGGGTTCCAATCCAACCAGGAAACACAGCACCCCGGGTCTCTTCTACCAGGATTCAAATGGGACGACCTCCTTTTCTTCCCTTATCCCTCTGCACACACGCTATCCTAGTTGGAAGTGACGTGCAATAGATATCTAACCCAAACCCCCTGCCACCAAGCCGATGCAGACTCATCGCAACCCTATTCTAGTGGTTTCCGAGGCTGTCCATCTTTCCTGGAGTGGAGCGCCTCAATTTTCTTCCTTGGAGTGACTGGCGGTTGGAACCTCCATCCAACACTGACCGCACATTATCACCAGGGTGCCTTCCGTGGGAGATGCCTCATTCTTTCCCTGACACGGAGTCAGTCCAGCTTCACAGCAACCCTGTAGCACAGAGTACAACTGTCCCTGGAAATTTTCAAGGCTGTAAATGTTTCCAGGAACAGAAAGCCTCATTTTTTTCTCCTGCTGAGTGGCTGGTGGGTTTGAACCTCTGACCTTGTGGGTTAGGGCCCAATGTCTAACTGACTATGCCGCCCAAGTGTCTGATGGAATATATGGTGTCAAAAAATAGACCCTAAAGATGGCTCCTACCCCAACATTGGGTATAGAGAAAGATTTATCTTGTAGGTTTCTTAAAATACACACACACACACACACACATCCAAAAGCCCTATATGTAGGTTTCTTAACACACACACACACACACACACACACACACACACACACACACACACACACAAAAGCCCTATATGTGCTCAATGCATTTAAATAACACTCATTAAAGTGAATTGCATGCAAGCTGCCTTCTCTAGTCACAGATGAGAGACAAACACTTGACCTATTGCAAATCAAAAAGCATTTCCGCGGCACCTTTATTTTTCAATTGGTTAAGTTTTAAATTAAAGCCCCAACACTTTTTGGGAAAGCCGATTCACATAGCCCCCACTGAAATCTCAGTTCAGTCAATTGGAAGATAATTACGAGAAACAAAATGTGAAATTTTAAATCAGGGCACTAATGAAGTCTAAAAATACCGGTGGCCCGTCCCTCCGGTTGGCAAGACCTACTCTCCACGAGGTGATCGCCCTGTAATTACTCAACCCCGGGAGAGACCAGGTTGTCACGTCAAACAATAGTAGGAAAAATCTTGGGACTTTTAATGAGCTGGATCGCCAGGCTCCCCCAGGTGGATCTTATTATAACGCCGGGCAAGGTTTCGAGTGACGAAGGAAGGAAAAGGCAAGATCTTTCCCCGTTTGTTTAGTGGTGTTTGGACTCGTGTTGATGCCAGCATGGTGCACCTCCTGGTCCCCGCCCCGAGCCAGCTGCCCGTCCCTTAGGAGTGTGAAATCCATTGGGTTTCGGAGATGCACACTCTGGAGGGGCAGAATGAAAGTGACCCACATCCAGACGCACGCAGTCCTGTCAGGAATAGGACTCTGGGATGGCCAGTGGAAGAGATTTGGTTTCATAGTTCAGGTTCCTCATGTGTATGTATACATGTACTTATATAAATGACATATGCTGTTGTTTGACATTAGGTCAGACAGACAAATTATAGCTTTAGCAATAAAGGCTTTTAAGATTAGAAATGAAGGGAGAAATTACTTGAACACACACTCACTCACTTACTCACTCCCCGAGCTCTGATTATGAGCCCCTGGTATAAGCAAGCTTCATTGTTTTCCTTTCCCTTAAATAAAAAACTAAACAAACAAAAAGGATCTCACTGCCATCGAGTCAATTCTGATTATAGTGACCCTATAGGCCAGGGCAGAACTGCCTCTGTGGTTTTTGGGGGACTGTAACTCTTTACAGGAGTAGAAAGCCCCATCATTCTCCAGGGGAGGGGCTGGTGGTTTCAAACTGCTGACCTTGAGGTTAGTAACCCAATGTGTAACCCACCCTACGACCAGGGCTCCTCATGTAGAAGGGGATAAATCAGCTGGAGATGACTGTAACTCACATGCAAGTTAAGAGGAAACAGCCATCTAGCTGGCCACCTACAGGATTCAGCAGGGCGAGGCTCAGCGGCTGGACCTGGAGGGACCTCCCTAGGTCCTCACCATCCCTGCCCTCACTTGCACTCAGTCTACCCACAGGGGCTGGAAGAGCAAGCCCCACCAGGAGGAGCCCCTTCTGTTCCCCTTCCATTGGTGGGCATGGGACCCTGGCCCCTACCTGCTGCTCAGTGGTCCAGGCACAGATATCCCAGGACTGGTTCTGTGATGGCTACTGGCCCAGTGTCCCTATGGGGCACTGTCCTCATTCCCACATCTTCCTGAACCCCCTGGCTCTGATGGATGGCGGTATTCAGATTTTGACTCTGTGCTAAGCCCCCAACCAGGGTTTCCGGTGCTGTTTGGGCTAGTCCCCTTCTAGTCGGACAATTGGCATGCTCATGTAATCTTTCAAAACCCTTCCTAGGGGAGGGGTGGGGGTGTGGCTCCCCCATGGAAGGGAGTGGAAGGCCCACCCAGTGCTGAGGGCTGGGGGCCGTCCTCTGTTTCAGAGTTGGGGGCTCAGAAGCTGGAAGCAAGGGTCTATTTATTTATTGATTGGTTTTTAAGTAATGGGAGAGGGAGCTTAACCAAAACAACTCAAACAAAGAAATCAATTTAGTCAATTTTTTTAAAAAAAAGATCTTAAACAAAGCAAGAGTTTGCCAGAATTTAGATGTAATTTTCTATAATTCTGTCATTTAAAACTAGTGCTGATTTCCCAAACAAAGGCAGTTAGGGCTCAATCAGATTGGGAATTAAATCCAACAGAGATCTAGACACGGGCTTTGTTGTTGGGATGTTTGACAAGGCCTGAAAATTACTCCAAGGGATAAAGATAGAGATTTAGGAGAGCAGGCGGGGAAGAGAACAGCTAGTTAGATTTGCTGCTTTGCTAAGATGCTAGGCTAGGCCCCCTGAGATGCAATTGCAAGGGGCTTTGAGGAATGGGCTGAGATCAAGAGCTCAGCCGTCCACATGCCCAGGCCCAAGAACACCCAGTGTCCCTTTCAAAGGAGACAGAGAAAAGCCCAGGAGGGCGGACTGGCCCTGAAAACCTGCCTCCTCTCCTGTCCAGAGCTATAAGGGACAGCTCCTGTCCTTCTGCCCCCTCCCAGGCCCCAGTCTGGGCCGGACAGACACCAAGACTGTGGTTTATCTGATGATGCCCTTTGTCCTAACCTGGAATCCCTGGGTGGTGGGGACAGTGCTCAACTCACCAACAAATGGTTGGTGGCTTGAATGTCCCCAGGGGTGCCTCAGAAGAGAGGCCTGGCAACCTAGAGCCGAAACCTCAGGCACCGGGAACCTCGTGGAGCCCAGCTCTACTCTGATGCTCACGGGGTCACCATGGGTCAGAGGCCATGCAGAAACAGCTGGGTTACTTTGTGCCCTAACTCCAGGGGACATCCAGGCTGAGGGCTCTGCCCTAGGACTACACTCCTAGTGGTCTACCTTCCTGGACTCTGTTCACCTGGGTCTGCCTTCTGGCTCCCTGGCATGAAAACTCCTCCGGGGCCAGGCTAGCTGAACGCTGAGGCTGGAGGGGCTCACAGGACCACCCTTAGGGCCTTGAAGGAGATCCCAGCAGCTCAGGATGGTTGGGGGAAGGCCAGGGAGCGATGGTCCCCTGAGTGCCACCAAGGGGGCTTGTCTGGATGGACACTCCTCTTTGTGTCCTGAATGGCCTCCGTGGGTGGGAGATGGAGGAGACCCCCAGAGGACCTGTCCCCAGAGCCCTATGGGCAGTGAGGCACTGCTTTGTATTCTGAACTTGGGCCCGGCCTCTGGCCAGGGGTGAGAGAGATCAGAGTGAGGACTGGGGTGGGAGGCAGACTATGGGCCCTGCGGCTCTCCCGGTCCTTCCTCCTCTCCCTCTTCTTGCCCTCCCCCATCTTGCTGTCTCCCCCCCTCCCCCCTCACCAAGGTCAGGTCAGGCTCCCCTTCAGCCTCTGGATCGAGGAGCTGCCGGGAGCACAGGTTGCCTTGCGTGAGGTCCTCCTCGCCTTGCGGTGTCTGTGCCTACCACAGAGACCATGTGGGGAACACAGGGGCAGCACACACGGGCAAGCGGGCAGCTTGACTTACCTTTGGGGTGCCCCGGGTCCGTGAACTCGTACTTCCCCACGCCAATGGTCCGCAGCATCTGCAGCCCGGGGGCCGAGTCAGAGGTGGGGGGCCCGTTGGTGGCAGGGGCCCCACTGGGCACAGCGGCGGACGGCTGGGCTGGCGGTTGTGGTGGCAGCAGGGGCCCTGCCAGGTGGCCGTTGCCCACAGCAGCAGGTCCTGGGCGGGCCACCTGCCCCACACCGGGCATCGAGGACACAGCCAGGGGCTGCGGGCTGGCGTACAGGGTCTGGGCAGGCATGTTGACCACCACGTTGCTCAGCGGCTGGGAGGGCGGCTGTGGGAGCGAGTAGTGGCCTGGCATCAGTGGAAGCTGGGACCCCACGTGGGGAGGCAGTGAGGGCGTCACCCCAATGACCGGGGCCTGGACGTTCACAGCCGGGCTGAAGGTGGGAGGCTGGGCCACTCCATAGGAGTGTGCGATCAGGGTGGGCTGGCTCCCGGCGGCCACCGTGGTCACCCATGGTCCTGTGCCTGCAGGGGAGACAGAAGAGATGTCATCTGTCCATTACACATTCATTTAACACATGCTGACTGTCCCCCTGGCCCTGGGCTGGGTGCTGGGGACACAGAGGTGGGTAAGGCACCTGCATCCAGAACTCCCAGATCAGTCATCTGTGATTTTCAACAGGAGCCCTGCTGGACCGCCAACCTTAAAGCTAGTGGTTCAAACCCACTGGACACCCTGCAGGAGAAACACGAGGTTGTTTACTCCTGTAAAGAGTTACAGCCTTGGAAACGCTGTCCAGGTTTGCTCTGAGTTGGCTGCAATGTAAAGAAAGCTCAAATCCTCACAGCTGGACCAGCAGGTAACGTCACGGTAAATGGAGGAACGATTGAAGTTGTCAAGGATTTCGTCTTGCTTGGATCCACAATCAATGCTCCTGGAAACAGCAGTCAAGAGATCAAAAGGCTGGTTGCAGTATATATACTTTGAGGACTGAGGTGCGCCTGACCCAAGTCAGCATGTTTTCAATGGCTTCTTATGCATGCGAAAGTAGGATACTGGACAAGGGAGAGGGAGGGAGCAGCGATGTCTTTGAATTGGGGTGCTGGCGAAGAGTACGGAAAGGACCGCGGGCTGCCGAAAGAACACACAAACCTCTCTTAGAAGAAGTGCAGTCGGAATGTGCCTGAGAGGCAAAGAAGGCAAGATTTCATCTCACGTCTTGGGACATGCTGTCAAGAGAGCGGCCCCTGGAGAAGGACATCATGCTTGGTGAAATGGAAGAGGGACCACACCTAAGAGGAAGACTTTGACAAGATGAACTGCACGGTTGCTGCTGCACCGAGGAGCTCAAACGTAAGAACTATCGTGGGGATGGTGCAGGGCTGGGCAGCGTTTGGGTCTGTTATACGCTGTGTCGTTATGGGTTGGAGCCCACCCGAGGGCGCCTGACGACAACCCCCGTGTGCTGGAGTAGACTCCGCGGCAGTGGGTGGGTGCAGGGGCCGTGGGGCTCCTTGGACAGATGGCTGTGGAGGATCAGAAGAGGAAGCAGGGTGGGCTGGGGGAAGCTGAGAGGAGAAAGCAGTTGGGAACTGGATTCAAATCTCAACTTGGCCAACTGGCAAGCTGAGAGTGTTGGGCATGCTGCTGTGACTTGTCACCGAGACTCTTCCTTCATAGCTGCACTCGGATGGCTACTCCTATGTCGCAGGACTTCTGGAATGAATTACACGAGGCACATGCATTTGAAAAGAAAAGAGTCATTTCTAGGGTGTGGTAAGTTGTAGATGAAGGTGGGTGTTTTTGCTTCCTTGGGGGGGGGGAATCCCCATGAGAGGGAGGTGGGGAGAGAATTGGAAGGTGATGGAGCGGGGGCCTGCTGGCCAGGGGCTGGGAGCTCCCTCGCAGGAGAAGAGGGTGACCCGACTGACCAGTGACCAGCGTGGGGCTGCGTCTGAGGACAGGAAACCCACATGGCGTGGCGGTGAATAGCAAGGTGAGGGGGTCAGCCTTGGGCAACGAGACAGAGTCTCCTTCTGCAGCGCGGCCATGGCCAATGCAAGTGAGGACCAGGGAGATCCTTCGAAGGAGGCTTGTTGTCAATGGGTGATGGATATTTATGGTTTCAGTCACGAGATGTGCAAAATTAGTGGGCAGCACACATTGGCGAAGAGCGTTCCCAAGACTGAGTGATGTAGGCAGTGTATGGAGGGAGCTGCCAACCGGGATTGTCCCC